AGCCGTGTCACTCGTGTCCCGCACAAGCTTTTGAGTGACATGGACTCTTGGAACCGAGGCTCCTCAGCATTTTACTTAAGCTTTGCGCAACTCTGACCTTATTTCTGCCTCGCACGTGTAATGCTAATATTTAACATAAAGTAGCAACAACCGATCAGCCCTTCTTAAATGTTGCAATAAAGCATCGACAATCGATAGCAACTTGCATAAGTAGACTGTTCCCGGAAATGGAGCCCTGTCGTCAAGAATGCTTCCGCGCTCATGCACGGGGCAAACCCGGAGAACTCCGGTCGGCCCGGCCCAGTCGTCCCCCCCCCCCCCCCTCTACCCGACGTAGCGCCACCACCCGCCCGGCCGATATTGGTATTCGGCGGCGCAGCGACGTCGTAAATTCGAAGCGTCTCAGAGCGCTCCGTTAATTCCGCGGCAGTGATCTGTTGCTCTTGAGTCGGCAGAGGAACCGCCCCGTGTCACACGCACTCCGCCTCCCCCCACTGCCAGTGGAGGATGGGCCGACGCTAGCAGTGCTCTCAGGGAGCCGCCTAATAGAGGTGTCAATCTCGGAAATTGGAGAGCGACCAGGGCCTGGGCTCGCACCCTGGGGAGCGGCGGCTACCTCCCCGCGCCACCGAGCGCCGGGAATTGTCGCCTCGCCATGAGCGCAATCTAAATGAGATGACATTGCTTGCGCAGTTGTACTCATAAAGCCTTCGGCTGTATTTATGGGATATGCTAATTTTATATCTCAGCAGCCAAAGAGCTCTGATTTCGAGGGAGGCTCCTACCTTCGAAGTATATTTCAAAATGCGCTCTAGTGAAACCTCAGGACTAGCTACGTCTAGTAATAACACAGGGTAGAGCGAGTGCACCACCGTTGAAACATAATAACGACATCAAGTTTAATCAATTTCGAGTCCAGATTACCTTGGCAATGCCTCGTAACAGCACTTTGCTTCCTCCCGGCAGTCGCGACCACCGTCGTCTTGTCAACCACCATGCGTACCTCTACCGGTGAGAAAAGTTTGTGATTGGCTCAGTGAGAAGGGTCTGTTCCAAGAAGTTGGTGGGTTGAAGTTTGAACTTTGAACAAGTGCGTCACATGGATAGTGAGATGCTCTCATTTCCAAATCCAAAGTGCGCCTCGAAAAGAGCCACCGGGGTTAACGCCCTAGGAGAAAAAAGCGTCGAATTCAGGGGACAATTTCTTCGTCTTTGCACATATTTTTGTCTACACAGTGTATCAAGCTTTCGTAGCATTCTTTACGAAAATATTGTGACACAAAAGTGTGCTGCAAAGATAACAGAACGCACAGGTTAGAAAACGCGAGGTAAACGAAATGTATTACTTCATAGCGGCGGGCACGAACTCAAATGAGATTTCTTCCGCAGGGTCGGCTATTTTAAATAGAAATTCTGAACTATTCAGATGGATTCGGGAAGACTGCTGCTACTGATCAAATCGTATGCGCCTGATGTGGCGATAAGTGAATAGTACAAAAAAGGTTGGATGCTTCCTTGAATCGCGTAAGAACCGGTTTTTTACAATTCATGTTAAGTAGGCTGCAAGAATGGCTTAAGCTTCTGAGCCTTTGCCAAGCCTGACTTGTTGCGTGCGCACCGAGTCCTCAACCAAGATAGGCCAAACCAAATTGCCAATATTATGTTGCATTTTGCCTTTTGTCAATCAGGATTGCAGAATGTTTGCTTGTAGCGCAGCGCAGCGACATGAGCACTTCTGGGATGATGTTAGCTTGGATGAAGTTTTAGGCAGGAATATTAACTAACCAAAATTTAACTATTTTGAGCTGTATTTTTCCCTGAGATGATCAGAGTACATTTCGACAGCAACTTAAGCATTTGCCATTCGCAGATCCTAAATTCGGAGATAAAACTCACTTGGAGAACTCGGTGCAATACATGAAGAAGGCCCCCGTTGTCTCCTTTGATGCAACTGTTTCCTCAGAGGCTTTGACAATTCGTCCTTTTGCATTCCAAGACACGTTTTCTAACATACGTGCTGTACTAGGGACGGACTGAAAGCGAACGCGCTCGTATGTCACCGGCCCCGCTTGTTTTCTCTGAGAGGAATGCGAGGTCGATTTAAACCCACTACGGAACTCGCTTATCTACTGGGCGTTAGTGGCGACTTTGCCACGGATACGGAAATGTCCTCTCCGCCGAATAATTGCTGCCGGCCGGCGTGTACCACAATTTTTGCCAGACAAATTGAGATGAAATGGACAGCAGCGTCGTTTCCTGCGCTTTGGAGGATCTTCTCAGAGCGCCGCAAGAAAAAATAGTGCGGTGTGCCCGCAGTATATCTCCCCGCCTTAATGGTGCCGCCCGATAAAAATTCTATCCGTGTTTGCTATCTCCGTCGCGACGGCCAAGCGAGACAGAAAACTGGCCTTCCGACTCCAGCGCAAATTGAAAACCCTTATCTTGATAGACTGGGCAATAAAGCTATTTGTTTGACGGCTACTTTAGTGTTTTCGGCGCGGGGCGGGCTTTGCGACCATCGGCAACCACTGAACTAAGCCGGAGGCTCTAAAATCAAGGAGTGGAAGATCTGTTTTGTTGAGAAAAAGATGGCGGTCTGCACTCATGCGCGGAGAAAAAAATAACAGAGGAACTGCTTGACCAAAATTGTTGCAGGCACTTGTAACAAATGAAGAAAATTGAGTAAAACGGCAAAAAAAGAATTAAAGCATCTTTTAGCAGATAACAATGCGATAGTTTATTAATGAGAACGTCATGTGCGTGTCATGGCAATACGTCTACCATCAGCAACTGCGATGGCAAAGTGCCTCGATTGGTTTTGAAATAAAAAAGTACTGGATCACTACGGGCTCACGAAATGTTGCAGGACCGCTTTGCAAAAAACTTCCTGAGCGGGATCATTCTTTTGTGAATGACTGGAGCGTCGACAGGTCCGTTGATGAGATTTCCATGTACCGATCATGGCAATAGATCTGCGATAAGCAATTACAGAAGCTGGGCATCCATGCGACTGTGGCTAACGGAAATTAATGTATGCAAATGAGCCGATATCGACCAGCTTTGATGTAACAACGCATCCCATTAGCAGTGGCAGTGCTGTTATTGAGCGTCCAAGGGGCTGGGATCCGACTCCCCGACGACTCGATCACAAATAAATCGCCCAGAAAAGAAGCGACTGAGACTATTGCACCCCTCGTTGACCTCAGTCTTGATCATGTGAGCACATATTGAGATAGCGCTGAAGACTTTGTCACGGAGTCTAGATTTTGTGAGAGCTTGAGCGACTTCCAGAATGAGGTATGTAATAACCAAACATGCACCATAGTCGTATAAACATGCACTGGCAAACCAATAAGGTTCGTTCAAGCCTGGACCTGACCGGAGGAAAAGATCGACCACTGAATGATGCGTCCTTGTATCGCGTTGCCTTCTTGAGCCGCAGTGTCGGCTAAGGCGAGCCAGAAGTCCCACCGTGTTATGATAGGAATATAAAAGCATGCTGAGTACATTGGGCTTGTTTGCCAATTGAAAGGAATACGATATCTATCAAAACACTGCAATATCCTGCAGGAACAGGGTAAGTTTTTCATTTATACCAGGGACCCGCATGCAGCCTGGTGTTCATGTTCTAGACGCAACATCCGCCCCATTTATTTATTAACGCTATGGGTGATAGCAGCATGAAAAGTGCTATGTTCGGATGACATTGTTCGCTACCAATTTATCTGCGTACAGTCATCCGTTCTCATGCTGTACATTTTGCTTAAAATCAAAAGGGTGAAATGAAATGAAATGAAAGGGTGACGAGTGCGGTCTCAAGACAACGTCTGTGCGCTGGATTCACGTTTGTCTTACACATCCACATCGCAAAACGTCATTGGTTCACTTATAACGGTAAAATTGGGTTAAATTTGAGCGTTTGCTTCACCTCAATGAAGCACTAAAATCTAATGCGCTCTTATGTATGTCAAAGCTGATACGAACCTTGTGAGTTGAACGGGATTCGTTCAGGCTTTTCCCAGTTGGCGTTGGATGCAGGACCTTTAAAATGGGAGCATATGCAAATATTTAATAAGATCATGCCGTTACAATGCAGATATCAAAGTGTACCCCTCCAGCCCACATTGTAATACTTGCTTTCACCTCTGGCAATAAACTTCAAGCTTAATGCGTCGACCCGCACGTCATTTGACGTTACTGAGGAGGCGTAGCCCTTTGTTACGAATATTAAGTATTTGAAATAACATTAATGAAAAACTAAGCAACATACCCATAATACTTTCCCGCTTTCGCCCCTGTCACTTCCATTATCCGCCTCTGCAATATTTAAGGAACTAACACCAAACGTGTTGCATGACTGGTCAAAGTCTTCACTAATCGGGACAATTGACCATCCATGGTTTATTTGACGGCATGAAAGCTTACCCTAGTCAATTTTCGGTTGTCAGTGGAATAAAGCATCCTGAGTCCGAAAAGACGCTTATTTCTCCGTGATGCCCCCCCCCCCAAATATATCCTGGAGCCACCCATAGTCAGTGCAAGATGGCTAATTTAGACATAATGTGGAAAATTAAACGTCAGAAAAGAGTGTTGAATTTGATCGTTTTAACGGAAATGGTTTAAAGATCAGGTAAAAAAAAAACGGGGAAGAAGCAGAGCGGATCAGTTAGAAAGAGGAGTGAAATAATCATTCTGTATTGAAAGAGGAAATAGCCCCGTTATTGTCAACGGTACAGTACCAGTATCTTGCAAGACTGTTTATATGTTAGGACTTAGTGAGCACCACCGGTCAGTACCACTGGTTTTGAAAAACTGCCATCCTCATGAGTGGAGGAGAAATACATTGTGGCCGAAGTTTGATAATTTTCATGGGTATTCTTTGAATACCAGATGCACATGCAATTTTTTAGTGGAGGATCGCCTCGCATTGGGCCGTGAAGCAAGTATTAAAATGAATTATTCAAAATCAGCCTAACTCTTCCTTGGCCGATTATGTCGGATCGTCGAAATGTTACCAGTCAAAAATATGAAGCGTTTAATTTTGTCAGATTTTGCGGCAATTAACACTTAAAAAGTGTATGACTGTTACCAGCTATTTGGCACGGCCACTGATTCAAAAGCACAACCCAAAACGCCAAAAAGATGAAACTACAAGCTTTAGGAAGGTACCGTTTGAACGGGGAAATTCTGGGAAAAGGAAACTTCGCCCGCGTAGAGCTGGCAACACACAGCGTTCTCAACGCAAAGGTTAGTTCCCTGAAAAGGGTTTTGAGTTTCCTGTGTTACAATGACGTATTGCCACGCACAGCTAAGCCACACAAGACGATATGTTTTCTGTTCCGTCCTTAATCTTAGTGAAACCACACGTTATTCAACATTTCAACATGATGCCAGACATTCATCCATGAAATCTTTTCAAGGGCGCTGTGGTGCTTCAGCTCTATATCAATCACTTTGGTTGGTATTTTGGGTTCACCGTGTCAAGCCTCTGGCTGATAAATTACTGGTGTGTCCGTCCACGCTAATGCTTAGGGGCCTGGCGGCCCTTCTCGCTCATCTAACCATTCGACTGAGGGTCGTTTGGACAAGTCGCCCCACTGAGAAGTGGAGCCAGCCGTGATACTTAATCATCGCAGCGCTAGCGGAACCAATGGTCTATGTTTATGCTAAGTGATCCCGATGTTCGGGGGACGTATGCTTCGCTACCACATCCCAGCGGGTATCAGGATCAGTAGACCGGAATTTTCGGCAATGTGATGGAATATATGGAGTGAACTTTCTCGCATATCGAAGTAAGTTAGGAGTCTCGATATTTAGACATGCATTGCAGCGTATCATTGGAGACCTTTCCTGGCATGGATCAAACTTCGGATGCGTTCTGAGCGCCCAGTACATGCCTACATCCAGAGCCTTTAACCCTACACCGTTTCAAAAGCTTTAATGTTGGAAAAACAGATTATATGACTGTCATAAAGTGAGAACTTAGAGCTTCACACCAACGAACTCCGCCGCGGTTTCCACTCGGTCTGCAGTAACCCCTCCGCCTACACTATTCCGGCCGAGGTCGTCAGATCGTCGGGCGGCTGGCTCTCGCGCGGCCGAGGCCATCATATCCACGATCCCTGATTTCCGGAACCCGGGAGCGCCATTGGATCGCCGACTTCTAATCTGCCCCATCATATGGCACCCACGTAGGCGGCAAATTTACGACGGAAGTCGGGGGCTGGCCACCGGGAATCGCCACCCAGGCGGCCGGCCAGCCCGCGGCCACCGCGAATCGATATAGCCAGTCGATCGGGGCCGGCATCGTCTTCCACCAGCGGACCCTCCGGCCATCAGGCATGATCGGGGGAATGCAATTGGCGCACTGGTCGGCTCCGGTCGTCGCCGCGCCCGGCCTCTGAGGCGATTGATTGGCGATACTGCGCAGGATCACGGTTTTTATGGACTGCCTTGACGCACGACGACAAATCGAAGCTCGCATACAAGACTGTGTGGATATGTCGGTATGCATTTTTCCTTGGGCTTGAAGCTATTGCTCAACGAATGCCACGGGCACGTCCGATGTTCCCATTCAGTATCAGCTGAATCTTTAACGTGACTAGGCTGGTGTTTGTAGCCCAAAGGCCAAGCGGAGCATTGGGAAATTATGACGCTTCATCGACAGGGTATACAATGCTACATATTTAGCTTTTTAGCTCGATTTCGTCCACGTCAGGCGATACAGCATGAAAGGCAATGTTCCAAGAAGTCGGCCAGCGATACATCTCACGTCCATATACCTGGAAGAGGTAAACACCAAAGGCGCAAAAATTAAACCTTTTTTAACTGTATCTTCATGCCCAAGTGCTCCTGTTCCCTACAAAAGCGGCTTTGATTGTTTTGGGAGCGGTTTGAAGTCCAACAGTCAAACTTTGTGTGAGGTTGTGTGCGTTGATCCTTTTAAGACATCCTTCACCCCCATTGCACCATGATGGTTAACTAAAAGTAAGCCTTACGAGTGCTCATGAGAAAACGGTTGTCTCGAGGTTTCCTTCATAATGCCACACGTGCCAGTGTTAACAATATTTGTATTCGAAGTCCTGTGCCCAAAAGGGCAGTGTTATATACGACAGCCTGGTCTACCACTCTGCAAGTCCATTCTCCATCACTAACGACAGACATTGCCATCAGAACTCAATCAGATATATTGCTTTGCTATCTTAAATGTCAAATTTATCACCACCGGCGGCGCTGGAGTGGTACACATTTTGTGAGCCCAACTGGAGATGCTAAATCCAACCGGAGAATCGAAATCGACCATTGGTCTTGAAATGAACCACAAAGTATTTCTGCGAGCGTAGGCCGTGAATTGTGAGGAATCATAATGTAATGTCACGAATCGAGATGGCTCGGGAGGGATGGCGAGGAAATCTACTAGCAGACCGATTTGCATACGAAATGTCTTTGGCTCACTGCTTGACTAATATGATATATGTTAAAGGCGCAAGATTTCGATGCCATGGTATTGGCGACCGGTACCAAAACTGCACCTCTAGTGCAATGCCTGAGCCTACAACATCGGCCCTTTGCCGGCGCCTGACAGTGACGACCAGCGATGGATGCATCGAAAACTGGGGCAGAGGCCGAATATCTGCAGCATCAGCCAAACAATGCCGTCGTCAGTAGGTACTCATGCGTGCAGGCTGGTTTCGGTGACGTGCTGACGCTGTGGTTCCCGAACATTCTGCGCCCGCAGTCCACATGCTGTTCGCCTGAGGCCTGCAGATCGACGGTCTCATCGCGAGCCCCCACGCGCTGCTCGGAGCCTTAGAGACGGCTGTGTTGGGCACGCCGGCTGAATGCCCACACGAGACACACGATCCTCCCAACCGAGTCGCAATAACTTTATTAGCTGCCATAGACGCGGCCTCGCATTCATCATCCGCCATAGCAGAATCATTTGCGATAAGTGCAAAGGTAATCAGCCTTCTCGGAAGGCCGTGGGGCGGCGACCATCTGGCCGTCTGTCGTTCCGCCAGCCCTCGGCCATCTCGACGCCGCGTAATGGAGACGGGGCAGAGGCGCGCTCAGTCAGGGACGCCCCGGACAGCCGGTGATGTCATTCCCTGTGTCGGAGACGCCGGTGACGTCATTCTCCGCGTTAGAGACGCCGGTAACGTCACTCCTCGTGCCAGAGACGCCTCTTCCGCCGGAGCCGTCGCTGAGCCGAGGCCGCTGCCTGCCACACGCCGTCGTGGTTGGACCTGGTCAGGTTTTGCCGTGTGTGAGGCCGGTGTGGTTTCAGTCGGGCATGCCCAGTCTCCGTCGACGCCATCGTGGTCTGAGTGCTCGCTCCAGCTGTGCGCAGAAGGTCGCGGGTTTGAGACCAGCTACTGGCACAATATTTTTCAATAACTGCAGACAAACATCGGAGAGTTTTCAACATGCACAAGGCCATCGGCCCCGCGTGGTCTGACCTCGCCGCGTCAGGCATCCTCCGACGCCGCCTCAACTATCGCCAAAACCTCTGCTGTCCGCTGACGCTCCGCATCGGCGATCTCCTCCCGCCTCGGCCCGTCGGTGGGGCGTGGCGGCTCCGACCCAGCGCCGACAGCACGCACCGCCGTCGGCAGTCCATGCGCCATGCCGCGCGCCGCAGGGCTATGCCCAGTAATTGGGGTGTTGACTGGTTGAACGCACCAATCGCCGGTACCAGGGCGTGTCCGCAGGGTGTGTTGATGTTGGCCGTGCCAGAGAGGACGCTGTCAGCGGCGGGGGGGTCGGCACGTCGCTCTGAGCTGAAGCTGGGCTGAGGGCAAGGTGAGGCGTAGAGCTGCCGCCACTACTCAACCACGGTGGCGGCACCTCCCCGTGGATGTCTCTCATTAGACCACAGGCGTCACTCTCACAGATCCAAACAGCGGGGAATGTGCAATGAAAATGGAAAACGCATGCAGCAGTGAACACATGGTCAATGCTATTCGAATAAACACAGGTGGAATATATATATATATATATATATATATATATATATATATATATATATATATATATATATATACATAGTTTGATATTTTGGGACCGATCCGGATCGTCTCCGCCCCACTTGGACACAAACGTGATGCAGTGAAGTGTCATCATGCCAACGCGTCCCCGGCGAACGGCACACCATCCGCCCCAGCTCCTGTCCGCCTTTTAGGACCCCCTGTCAGCACGGAAGCCGCACCCGTCGCGTCGGCCTAGAAACGGCGCCGACGACGACCCGTCGAGCGCGGTGACTTGTTTTACGCGGCAGGCAAAAACGGCGCGCCGGCGGCAGGTGGCGCTCGTCGCGCACGCCGTTTTTGCGCGAAATCCGAGAGACGCGGCGGGCAGAAGGATTCACTGTTTGTTGACACGGCCCGCGGTCCGGCGGCCGCGATGACGCGCGGACCGGCGCGCGGCGCGGGCGACCGGAGGTGGTGACTCGCCGCCGGCCGGCCGGGCCGTCGCGGCGGCGCGCGGGTCGTCAGCTGGGCGGGACGAGGTCAAGGCGCCTCGCAAACGGACCGCGCTCGGCGGCGCTCCGCGACCACCCACGGCTGTCAGATTCACCGGAGGAGTCGAGCGCCGGAGCCGGCCGGGCTTATGGCCTTCCCAGAACCGAATCAAGCCATGCAGCCGAGCCATCCCGCTGGTATCGCAGACGTGCTGATAGAGGGTTCGCCGTTCAGCGCTCGACCAGCGGCGACAGGGTGTCGGACGGCGACGGTGGCCGTGCGCCGTCGGTGGACGGGCTTGACGGGCGGCGTCCGGGGTCCTCCGCTCACCCAAGTGGCTGCCGTTCGATTCGAATGGCTCCCGCGCGGCGCAGCCTCGAACGCGTGATGAATGGCGGCGAACGGCTGCCGCACTTCGGCTGAATTTTTCATCTTCCTGACTGCGCGAGCGAATATATGTGATTAATGCGGCCGCGTCGAATCATTGCGGATAATGAGCCAATGACAAACGAGGATCCTCAGATTTGGCCTCATAATCCCGGCGAAAACTCGTCCCGGTGACTGGTGCGCCGCCGAGGCCGCCAGATAAATCATAAAATGCAACGGCAATGCCGCTCGGTCCTGTCCTATTTATTTGCATATTCAGCGTTGTCGGCGGGAGGGCGCCGACGTTGCGTCGCCCTCGACGCTGGCCGTTGCCGACGGCGGTCTGTCCCGCGCGGGACGTGGCGCTGGCGGACGCCGCCGACGCATGGCGAGCGCCGAGAGAGCGCCGGCGCCGGAACG